TTGCGTGGGTGGCCATGGGGTCCACTGTGGGCATGTGTGCTTCTTCCTTTCGCAAGCTTCAGAGAAGCCTCCAATGGTGATTGCCTCGCAGTTGTGTGTGTGACACCCGGTATGGTTCACGGCTGATGCTGGGCCAGTCAGAGGTTCACATCCAGGCGGCAGGACAGTGATGTTCACAGCCCTGCACCCCACTTCCTCTGTCTCTGTGCAGTAAATAAACCCTGAATTAGCACTGCCCACCGTTTCCACACCCCTCCCTTCTCTGCTGGGGGAGGCATGGAGCCGGCAGCACCACCCCTGGGCCTGTGCGTGGGCTCCAGGGGCCTTGTGGGCTCTGCTCATCCCTTGCGGCAGTCCTGGAGCTCCAGGCTCAGCCAGCAGCCCACTCCTGGGTGCTCCATGCTGGAGAGGGCCAAGCCGCAGGGACCGGGCAGAGGAAGCGTTGCCAGCCCTGGAGCGACAGTGGCAGGGTGAGGTCCCAGCCTGCAAGGACACAGGCCTCCAGAGGAGCTCTGTAGGGGTGACGCAGACCCGGTGGCTTCCAGCCAAGATGTTCTCGGAAACCTTTAAAGCCTTCAATGGACATGTAAAAATATTTTTAAGGATTAAAATGCATGCTGGAATAAAATTCCTTATCCGCATCATTCAGAAATGACTAACAAAATAACTTAAAACCATTGTCATCTGTTCAGGCTTGCTCTGTAGTTCACACTGGTCTTGGTTACACTAAGAAGCCGGGGTTGGCTGCAAACTCATGGCGATCCCCCTGCCTCAGCCTCCCAGTGCTGGGGCCACAGGCGCTTGCCACTACATCTGGTTGAAAGTTTAAATCTGGGAGCTAACCTGATTAAGGGAGCATGAAGCCAGGCAGTAGTCAGAAAGCAGGCACAATAATTCTAGGCAGGTCTAACTTCAAATAGCGTCCTGGGGTTTTATGGATTTTTCTGTACTTACTAAAATACAATGCACGCACGAGGCTCCAAAGTTTACGAAAGCACAGACAACAGAAGGCGCCGTCCCTGTCCAAAGCTGAGCACTGTCAACAAACTCACACCAGTGTTTAGCTTCTCCCGAAAGTCTGCGCATGTAAATGAGCATATGTGTGCGGCTGAGTCCTTACGCGGCTTCCGACGCCACTCTGTGCGCACGCATGTGTGTGTGTGCCGTGTCTGAAACAGCCTGCGTGCTGTGTTTCCTTCCCGTAAAGAATCTTGGAAATGTTCCACACGGCGCCCGACCGGTGAAGGGCCACGACCTCACCCATCACCGCCTGTCCACGTGAGCACCCTGCAGCGGCTCTACGTGCCCGTGCTGTTCGGATATGCAGCGGAGTCCTGGCACAGCGCGGTGGTGCCGAGTGGCGTGGCCTCGCTGGCTTTGCTGTCTGTTGCTTAGTGGCTTCTCGAGGGGTGACAGCTACCTCAGGCTGCCCAGCCTGCTGACTGCTGCGCCTGCTCCACAGGACATCCCTGCCCCCCTTCCCGGGGCCACAAGGCCTCGGCAGCTCTTTCTCACACTCTGCTTTTTTATCTGCCTCTAGAAAACGTTGTCTCTACTGGCATCCTCCAAGGTCTTTCTTCCCGCTCTGTTATGCTGTAAATTCCAATGGGAATTATGTATTTATTTATCTATTTAGAGACAGTCTCATGTACTTCAAGTTGGCCTTGAAGTCACTATGGAGCCCAGGCTGGCCTCAAACTCCTGGTAACCCTCCCGCCTCACGCCCCCGAGTACTGGGTTACAGCTGCCCACCACTGCGCCTGCCTGTTACAGAACTTCTCAAACACGCCCCAGTACAGACTTCTAAAATCTTAGGGGTTCATCACCCAGTATCAGGTTTTTTTTTCCTGCCCAGTTTTGTTGCATTTTCTTTCTTCCTCAAATTATATTCAGCTAAATCCAAGTCATAAGGTCAATCACAATGTCAACCAAAAATACCTGAGTGAATTTCTAACAGATAAGGGCTTTTAAAAAGTCACTATATTATTCCCAGCCCTTAAAACTTTTCTAAATGTTTCAAAATGTCACCTTAAGTGTGCTCTGTTCCAAGGAAGATGCTTACAAGGGCCTTGAAGGTGTCTGCCCTTTAATTTGCACTGTCACTTTTATCTTACATCTGCAGTTACCTGAGGAAACCATTATTTGGAACATCCCACATTCCAGCCTGCTGTGTTTCTTAATTTCCAGCGGACTCTTTCCTGTTGGTTTTTGGGAGTGATGGGGTTTGACTGCAGGGCCTTTCTGCTGAGCTACATTTTAATTAATTATTTAATGTCTTAAATGCTAAATTGGTATGTAGGCCAGGCTGGACACAAGCTTGCAATCTTCCTGCCTCAGTCTCCCGAAGTGTTGGGATTACAGGTACGCATCCCTGTGACCAGCTAACTGCTAGTGCTTTTAAAATAAACTTGTTAGATATTAAAACTTGATCACACTCAGACTCGATTTTGTTCGGGGCAGTAATTCCTCATAGGTGGGGCTGAGCTGTGGTTACCATAACATATCAGAGGCACGTGATGTCTTGTTCCTTTTGTAATAAGCCTAAAATTGTTCTACATTGCAGACGAGGTCATCCAGTGAAATGTTTCCTGTTATCTTTTCACCTAGTAATTTCGGCAGCCTGGATTCATTATTCGCCATGAAACCCTGCTGCACTCAGGTAATGAGCGCTACCTGAAGAGCCTGCCCTTGTCTGCCCTTGTGATGGCGGTAACACAGCTGTCGGGATAAGCATCTCCTCTTGCCACTAGGAATTGTTGGACTATCGAGCCAGCGTCCCAGTAACTGCCAGAGCCAGCCGCTTGTGAACAGCATCACGCTCTCATGGCGCCTTTTCTTTTTCCCTATGTCGGGCAGGGCCTACAGGGCCTCACAGGCACCCACCACCACACCCAGCCTCAGTCGCGTCTCGGCGAACCGGCCGCTGCGCTGCGCGGCGCTCATGGCATCTTATGCTTCTTCCTCCACTCCCTCATTCCCTCTGTCCCTCAAACTGTCCCACTCTGGCCAAGATCCCCCTTGACTGGGCTGCTGGGCCCTCTGCTGTCACCTTGTCTCACTGCCCGCTTGCTGGCTGCATGGACCGTCCTTCCCTCCCGTCAGTGGGGCAGCCGAGGTGCTCGAAGCTTGGCCCCGCCGCACTCAGGACAGGCAGTACCTGTGCTTACCCCACACCCTGCACCAGTGAGTATGCACCGGCCGGTCCACCCCAAAGCATCCACAGGCACAGCCTTGTCACTGCAAACACCTGGTAAAATTTATTCTAGAAAGCAGCCAAAGGTACAATGTGCACAACTTGGAAGGATCAAATACAGAAATGGGTTCTTACAAAAGAATATTTAGCACCCACTGCAATTTCAAGAATTATAGGTTTGGGACTTTCTTGACCTTTATAAAATTGAGGGTGCACATGGGGTTTTACCCTAAGGTAAGACCTAACTTATAAAGCATCTGACAACAGTCTTCAAATAAAGCAACGTCAGTCCGAAAGTGAGTTTCACTGGGAGTCTAGGCACATCCTTCTCCCGAGTCACCGGGCACCCTCACTGGGGCCGGAGACCCCACTCACCGAGTGAACCCAGAACCTTCTTCCCTCAGGGGCTGGGACCAAGCTTCCCACACTGAACCCTTCAGTGCAGGAGAAACTGCCAGGCACCCAGCAACCACTAATTAAGAGAGTGTCACACACACAGGGACAGAGACACCACTCAAGTGACCCAGGCCACTCTCAGGTCTGACTGCGGCAGACTAGGAAGCAAAGGCCACAGGCGCATCTCACACTGCCCGTGGGCACCAAGTGGGCGAAGCGCTGCTCCTCGGGAAGCGCCTGTGCAGGCCTCCGGAGAACAGGCCTATTCTTGGCGAGGAGCCCACGTGTAGAAGACAAGACACCCAGTCTTTCTGGCCGCTCGCTGAAGGTCGTACACGTCACTACCAGGAAGACAACGAGTGCCTTTCCTAGCCATTTTAGCACGGCAATAACCCAAGCCACGAAGCATTATTTGATCTAATTCACGGGTTTTATTTATGGAGCCCGCCTTTTCCCCAGATAAGCAAGGTAACATGACAGAAGGCAGGCGTCTCACCAGGACAGTCCCACTCCATTCTCGTCTGTACAGCGCTTCTGCAGCAGCCTTCACCACAGGGAGAGTTTTCACAGTTTCAAAGTCTTCGTTTCAAAACTGCTAAGAGTGCTATACTTGATGGTAATTACTGTCAAATAGTTCAATCAACATGGTAGAATGTCTGGAATATAACTTCAAGTATGTCAATGATTTAATCAACACAGTACTCGATAAAAAACAAACCCAGTGCTAGCTCCCTTCATATTTTAGTGGTAAAAATGTAATCCAATTTTTAGCACCCATATACAAGAGTGACGTTTTTAAGAAAACATATAACTTGGCTTCTAAAAGGTCAGTCTTCCCCTCCCTGTAAGGGAGGAGACCTGGGCCACTTCCTGTGCCACTGGCTACTGGAACAGATTAACATTTAGTGGGACAAGCAAAGGGAGCCATTGGTAGCTGTGGCTCTCTGTGCCACAGGCAGTGTCCTATCTGTCAGAAGTGCAGGGCGGTGCCGTAGAAGGCACCCAGGAGCCTCGCTGCTGCGGGCCCGAGTGTCAGGAGCGAGCACCAGAACATGCGGACCCGCGCTGATGCGGCAGCTGGGCACGGAGCAGAGGGGCCCAGAGCGGCTCCTGCCCTGGCCGTGCCCACCCTCCACCCAGAAGCCTGGCTGTCACCCCACTCCAACAGCGAAGGGCTCCGAATGACTGACACTTTTTCCCATAAAAGCACATTTGGATTAACTGCATCAGTCACAAGACATGACAAACACACGCAAAGAAAGTAAGGTGCACCCTTCAAGGTGCGGCACAAGAAAGCCAGAGATCGTTTCTTTAAACTGGCAAAATATACTGCAGTATGAGAAGTACTTGACTAGCAGAGTTAGGTAAAAAGGAAAAACAATCTTGGTTAAGAAAGTACAATTTTTCAGTGTAGCAGAGGGACAAACAACCTTTTATTTAAAGTTACTAAATTTGGAGACTCCTGTCTTTCGGTTGTATGCGGAGAGGAGACCCATTCTTCTAGAAGGCACTGGCTGGTGTACATGTGCAGTGCCTCCCCGCGGGCACCAGGCGCAAGGCACAGTGGGAGGTGGCCGTCTGCGCTGGCCGTGTCACACGCTCTGGCCACGCAGAGCTGTGCCGTCTCCGGGCGCTGGGCCAGGGTGTCCCTCAGTCCACGGAACCGCAGATCTCCTTCACCTTCTGGTTGAACTCCTCTGGCTGATCCGCGTACACGTAGTGCCCAGCCCCGAGGATGGCCTGGCAGGGACAGGGCAGTGGTCAGTAAGCGCATCCACAAGGCAGCAAGTTACACAAGCTGCCAGAGTCAACAGAGCTGCTGCTACGCTTACATGAAACCCCAAGATGAAAGAGTGGCGAGACCGACATACAGACGCTGCTGAGAGCTTCTAGCAAAAAGATCTGAGAATAAGCAAACTACTGAATCTTACTGAAGCTTCGGCATGCAAAAGCCGGGCTCCAGTGACCGCTGTGGAGCAGGGCCACAGAGCTGAACAGGTGTGCTGTGCCGAGGGGGCCACCTGGCAGCCTCTCCCCACTGGGCGAGGGCTTTGCTGGGCCTGGGCACCTGCGGCTCAGGCCCCGCCCTACCCGCCCCACCTGCCCCACCTGCCCCACCTGCAGGTGCCCACTGAGGCTGCAGGATGCGAGACGAGGAGGAGACCTCACCAGGGGCAGCACAGCAGGGGTCACTGCCGCACCCCTGCACACTTACGATGGTCTTCACGTAGGACTGCGGCCGCAGGGACTGGATGCTGCTGCCGGAGTTGCCATCGATGCAGGAGCGGGCCCCGAAGATGACGGTCACAGGCACGTCAGGGTGCAGCTTCCCGATGCGCAGAAGCATGGGCCTTTTTGCCCAGCCATAGGGGATGGTCATGTTCTTGAAGGCAGTCTCGCCACTTCAGGGAAAGAGAAAAAGCACCCTGTGACTGCTGGGAGATGGCGCTGCTGTCCCCCTTTCGAAGCGTGCCCTGCTCAGCTGCTCTAGGGTCAGGGGAGCCTCAGGAGACAGAAAGCACCCAGGACGCGGCAGGCGGAGGAAATCTCAGCCAGGGTCGGGGAAGCAAGGCTGAGCACACTAGTTGGCTGGCAAAGTTCTCTTCTTCTAAACCAAAACACGCTATTGTGATTCTCTTACCAAATGATTAAACTGCTTCACTTTGGGCCAGGGAGACAGCATAAGCGGCATAAGCGCCTGCCTGGCAAGCACAAGGTCCTGAGTTTGATGCCCGGTACCAAAAACTAAGTAAAGAAATAGGCAGTTTCCCTGTTTTTGAGGAGAGTGAAGTGTGTTTTTCAGTCTGATATAAGAAGGCAACTTTTGCAGGCTTGGGCATCAGCTCCTGACTTTACCAAGCTGAAAGCAGCTGGAAGCCTGAGCTCTCCCACCCAGGAGGGGCCGCTCTCGGTCACTCTTACAGGACAGAGTGAGCCTCAGCACGGAGAGGCAACACCTCAGGAATGCAGGGGCGCAGGTATGAGGAAAAGAGAGGCAGCGCAGCGGAGCCCGCCAGCAGTTCAGGAAGGAGACTGTGGGAGCAGGCAGGGAGTCCGTGGCGTGAGGTGTGGACCATGACCAGCAGCCTACACTTGCAACACCCGCAGTGCATGTCAGAGGCAGCATCCAAACAGCACTCTGCACAGCGCTTGGAACCAGCTCCAGAATCATAACAGTGCCGGGGCCCGGGGCCCAGCGCCCAGCGCCCAGCGCCCTGCGCCCTGCACCCAGCACCCAGGCTGTTCCCGCCCTCCTGCCGATCCTCCCTGGACCGCAGGACCATCCTGCTCCACTCAGCACCTGCGGTCAGGGCTGTGCACAGCCACGCTTGGCCCTCACCCTGCTCACCCCTCTGTCCACACCCCTGTAGCCACATGGCCCAGGCCCTCACTGCTCGGCAGCTGCGGTTCAGGAAGGTTCTCTGCCTACTTCATTTGCTCATTGGAGCCCCTCCGCTGTGGATTTGGACTGCAGGGGAGACACCGCTCCACGCTTCTCTGTTCCCACTAGGGCCGCCTCTTAGAGATTCCTAAGACCTCACCCATGAATACTTCAGGCGAAGAGTGCACATCCTACTCTCCCCAGCCCCCCTTAAAACCCAGCACAGAGTTTCCTACTGTGGGTACTCTATGAATAGATGGGTAATTACGAAAATGTACACACTCTGGGTACAGTGCACACCTGCAATCCCAGCCAGTAGGGAGGCTGAGGCAGGAGAAGCACAGGTGCAAAGCCATGCAGGCAAATCAGTGAGCTCTTGTCTCAAAATAAAAAATGACAAAGGCTGGGGATATAGCATGCCTAGCATACATGGGACTCCAAGTTTTTAAAAAAGCAGTATTAGACATCTGTTCTTTTTAAGTACTGTTGTGGTTTGTGTCCAGCTGTCCCCCGAAGCCTCATGTAGTCAAGGGGCGGCTTGTGGAGTTTGTGATTAATTCATGATCCAATGCTGGGATTACGGGTGTGAGGGCTGCCCCTGCCCTGGGCGGACAGCCTGAGTACTGCAGCTGCAGCCCGCTCCTCCTCCCTTTTGGCTTTTGCAGTCTGCTGTCTTCCACTACCATGGGCTGCTGCCCTCTGCCATGGAGCCAGCCGAGTATGGACTGAAGCCTTCATTAACTGCGAGCTAAATAAACCTTTCCTTCCTTCATTTTAGGTGTCAGGTATTTGGCCCAGCAATGAGAGAAAAGTAACTGAAACAACTACTGACGAAAGCCCCGGCTACCAACACATTTCCAAAAAAGGAAAGTTGAAAGCAACACAGTATGTTGAGGCCCTGTGGCTCACCTGGGGGTCTGCACGTTACAGTGGTAAATGTACTCCGCCACAGTGTCGTCTTCAAACATCGAAGAGTACTTCCGCTTGAAATCAGGCCTCAGACGCTGCACTAGACTCAGACCTGCTCAGCAGGAGACACAAACACGGAAGCTGTAAGTGACAATGAGCTGCCGGTCCTCCACCACGGAGAGCGAAGCACGGGGCATGTGCTCGCTCGCTCGCTCGCTCGCTGGGTGTTCCGGGCGGGAACCCCCTCCTGAAGCTGCTCTCAGTTCCCCATGGAACAGGGACGCAGGAAGTGAAGAATGCGGTAGACTGACTTACAGTTGTGCGTCAGGAGCTCAAAACCGCCAGCTTTCTAAGACCTATATTTTAGGAAAACAAAGTCTAAACAGTGAGTGGCATAAGCTACTCATGAAGGCAATGTGTTCACTTGTTCTCTCCTCCAAATGACAGCAAACCAGCTTTCTACGAAGTCAATCGGCACCCAGAGGCTTCCACGGGAGAACAGCGCGAGTGTCTCTCTAGGACACCAGCAGCTCCTCCTGTCTGCCTCCTTCCTTGCCCTGCCTGTTGCGGCAGCCAGGGGATGCGGCAGAACCCACTTGAATGTCCGAGGGCTCTGAAGGAGCTCTCTGAGGCGGCACAGGCACGGGGAGGGGACAGAACCAGCCCCTCCCAGGCCATGACCTCCACGTGCATCCTGGCTCGGCTGTGCTGTTCTCACTGAGCCCTGGCTTCCCCGCACTGCAGCAGGCAGCAGTGACCCCCAAGGCTGGCCCAGCCCTGAGTGGCCAGTCACAGAGATCTGCACAGCTGGGGTGCACAGGTGCACCAGGGCACAGCTCCACTGGGGCTGCCGTCCCGGGAGGAGCAGGGGAGGGAGGATGGTTTCTCGGCTCCCCTTCCTTCCAGATCCAGGTGATGCTTTTGAGGGGCTGGATGCCTTGGCAACCACCCAGCAGGCATGAGGGAAGAGGTCAAGAGGACACAGATGAGGCCTGGCCCGCACAGGAGAGCTGGCTCCCAAAGCCACTGAGGGAAGCACCAGTTCCAGGTGGCCACAGGCCTAGGGAGGCCCCCACTCAGGTTTCTGGGACCTGCCACTGGCCACTCCTAGCTGATAGGGTCAGAAGTGGAAGCTGACGCTCGGGCCTTTACCCCTGGCAGCCACGGGGAAAGAAATTTCCAAGGCCACAGACTGAGAGGCAGAGACTCAACACTGGCACCTCCAAATCGGACAAGGAAAGTACGCCTATACACATCCACCTGGCAAGAGTGCCCAATACCTGTGGGAAGGTGGCTTTCCTTTCCCACCACACTGTCATCATGCAGAAAGAAAGACTCGCCTGTGACCTCCACAGGCTCCCAGCTTGGTGTGCCCACCATCATTCAGCCAGACGCTCCTGAAGGTTGCCAGCAGTCATCGTGGGACACGTGGCTCCGTGCCTCGGGCCTGGGCTCAGGTGCACATCCCGAAGACACTCTGCTCTGTTCCTGGCTCTTCTCAGACCCTAAACGACTGACGCACCTTGGCCTCAGCCCTTGGCAGCCTCTCTGCTGTGCTAAGATTGCCCTTTGCGACAGCTGGTTTTTCTCAACCTTGTGCAAGGCCCGGTACTTATTAGATGAGGACAGAAAAAGCAAGGGCACAGGATGTTTTCTAAAAAAAGTTTTGATTGGCAATGGTGATGGGCAAAGGCAGTCACCTACCTGTGTTGGAGCAGCCTTTGCAATTCTCTCAACCAACTTACAGCACAGTAGCCCCACCAGAGACCACAGGGAACCCGCACCCCAGGTGCTAACTGCCCTCCTAGGACGGGCACTCACCGAAGGGGCCTGCAATCCTGAGGCCAGCCAGTGGGTTAAAGGGGGTCAGTGCTGCTCCCAAGGCTCTGATCCAAACGGGAATTGGTCTGTCTTGATCAGCAAGGTCCGGGCGTTCAGGAAAACCCCAGGGCTCCACTAAGATGAGGTGGCTGACCCTGTGGGGACAGAACAGATGGAGGCTCACTGCAGTCACCCTCGGGCTGTAAGAAACTGCCAGGGCTCATCAAAGGCAGAAGGAACCACCCTGAAAGCGCTGATGGTGAGGAGAAGGCAGCTCAGCAGGCCACGGCGTGCTCACTCTGCAGTCTTGGGACCCAGCAGCACTGAGTGCGCGTGGTACAGAGGTCTTTATTTTAGTACATTCCACTGTGGACGAGAAAAAGGGTGGGAAGCGGAGTGCAGAAATGCTTCTGCAGAAAGGCTGCTTTCTATCTAAGCCACGCTCCAGCAGTTGACGCAGACCACCAGCCGCTCAGGAACAACCAAGTCCTGTGTATCGCAGGGTTCGAAGTGCAGAAATGCGTGTGATCAAGCACGGTACTCAGAAAATAGCCTCAGGTCCTGCCAACAAGCTCCTCTAAATCAATCAGGCTAAACAATGAGAGAAGTCGGACTTACTGTGGGTTCAAGAGGACTTTAAAGACCCTTTCCACAAACTGAATAAGGACTGCTCAAACAGGCTGGACACACCCCTGCCAGTGGGGGAGGCTGGAGGCTGGTGAGATGGCGCACCCTTCCTGCTGCGACCACGACCTCGGGACATGCAGCTCCCCGTCCTGGGCAGAGTCCTTCCTTGCTAGCAAAGGCCTCACTCCAGCTTCATGTAGCATGGTCTCATACCATTAGTATTTTTTAGTTTTCCCATCATATGAATCTTGTTCTCGATGATGAAAACCCAGAACTGCCACAGAGCTGCATCGTGCCTTTGCACACCACAAAGAGTCTGTGCCGAGCACAGTGTTAGCCAGCGACTCCAAAGGCCCGCTGCTAAGTCGTCCCTGAGAGAGAGAGGTAAAAAGGGGAGTGTGTGCTGGTGGTATCGTTGCTTTATTAAATCAGTGTATTCTTTTTGTCAACACATATGAAACTAAGTTACTAATGAGAAATTTTTTTACTTGGCATTTTTTCAAACAGAAAGCTTGAGACCACACCCAGAGCACAGAGCTCTACAGCACTGGAGACCTCGGTGCAGTCTTCCCTCGCCAATGGGAAGGAAGCTGAGACTGAGCCACGCCCAGACACACCACAAGGCGGCGCAGAACCAGGGCCGAAACCCAGTCTTCCTCCGCCAGCATGCAATGGACAGAGCAAGCCACTGAGCTGGCCTCTTGCCTGGGCACATCCCAGCAGCAGGATGGCAAGGCTCACCAAGCCACTCTCAGCCATTCTAGCCCTGTGCTCTGGGTGCACAGCAAGGGCATCCCTGTGCAGAGGCCAACAGGAGAATTCTGTATGCCTGGTGCACTTCCCAGCTGAAAAGCCTTACATGAAAGTATCTGCTAAGACTGTACAGGAAAGAGACTGTGAAAGGGGCTTTTACTGCTTTTAATGACAAGGACCACCCCTCATCCCCTCTGCTGAGGTGCAGGGGGGGATGCAGGTGACATGCTGGAGCCAGGTAGGCATGTAGACCTTTGTGAGGTTCTGTCGGCCCCAGCTAACCTCTCCAAGAACCAAAAGGTACCAGGGAGCTCTAAGAACAAGGACAGAAAAGCAAAGAAGGCAGGAAGGACTCTGGTCTGCGTCCAAAGGTGGCACAGCACGGAGAAGTCAGCCCAGATGTTCCTGCACCACTGGAAGAGAAGGCCTGGGGCTACGACCTCAGGACCTCCCCACCCAGCCCCGGAAGGAGCTGTCCAGCCCCAGCCTGTGGATCGGAAGACAGACCCTGGCAGCCCAGTCTCCAATGCACTCAGTTCAAGTGACCAGAAACCTGGTATCAGGACAGCTGGCCTACTCTGCTGCAACTGGGATAGACCTCTTTAGTCACAAGTTTCTGCGATCCCCTTTTCCCCAGTTGACAGTGAATGCCTATAAGACATTGATAGTCGTGGTACAGGGTTCTGAGCAGTAGGGACCAAAGGGAAAAAGTTCTGAGAAAAACCAGGGAGCACAGAGCTGGAGGAACGCGAGGTTGCCCTTGGCTGCCCTGCTCCTGCTGCTTAGCCTTACTTGGTGTTTTTTTGGCAGAACCGGTGATTGAACTGAGGCCCTTGCACTTGCCAGGATGAGCCATCTCCCTGGTGCTCGCCTTACAGCCAATGCTCTTTACGCCCCAGGGAGTTGCCCTCTGCCTGTGAGCAGCACAGTAACCTCCGGGGGGCGTCTCATGATGGGACATCCAGCTTGTCCTAGGAAGCAGGACAGGGGGTGTGCTCCCTGAGTCCCAACGAGCTCACAGCACCTCTGCCCACAGCCACCTGGGCACCCGCCCCGTCAGGACCTGTGGGATTCCTGTCGCGCTGCCCAGAGCACCTCCCGCTGTCCCGTCTGTGTCCTGGGGCACCTCCGGGGGCTGCCGCCCTCCAGCCTCCTTCCCCAACACCTCCACCTGAATGCTAAGCTTCATTCTACCTCCTGGGTGCAGAAGCCACATGCCTGCCGCCCAAGTCAGGGGGAGAGCAGGCAGCAGTCAGCGCAGGTACTGCTCTCCTGCTTGCCGCACCTTGCAGGGCACTGAGACGCCCCAGAGACCGAGGTTGTCTGGTGACAGCAGCAGCTGCAGTGGAGTGCCAGAAGAGTGCCAAAGCCAGACCTCCCCACCTCCCCAGGGTGGGTCCCTACAGTGTGAACACACACCTCTGTATGACAGTGGCTGGGATAGTGGCAAATTCAGAGAATGTCACTGTGTTGAAATTAACTTGCGTTAATAATTTCAATTTTATGTAACCAAGTCCCAACCAATCAAACCATGTTGGGTTTTTTTCTCCTGGCTCCATTCACTTAAGACACAGGGGGGCGTGCAGACAGGCTAAGAATACAGAAGCATGTCCCATGGGCTGTGTACAGTACAGTATTTTGGTGGCAACCAGAGGAATTGAGACACACTACTCATCCAAGCTTCCTCCTATCCACCTATTATTCCCATTTGGGGGCAGTTCTCAAGGGTTACCCCTAGTGCTGGCTCAAACCCTGGGGAGCCACTCTCTAAACTGCAGTCAGTGCAGGCAGCATTCCTCCCCGGGTTAGGCCCTTTGCACTATTCTCTTGCATGAACAGGTCCCTCTGGACCCGAGGAGCTTCCCCAACACTGCTGGCCTCTCTTCCTGTAGCCTGACGTCATCAGCAGATGGCTACAAAGGGTCAGGTTGCCAAGACTTCAGGTTAGGTCACCAGGGTCCAGCCCATGCCGCAGGGGCCCACGTCACAAGGCCAGAGAGAGCCCCAGACATCAACTTCACGGGGCAAGCACAGTAAACCCTGATTCAGAAAAGCAACTGAAGGGAGGCAGTGCTCGCGAGCAGCTCTGAGGTCTTACGCCAGAAGGCACCCATTCCAGTTCCTCTTCACACACACAGCTAGGGGCTGGTCACTAACAGCAAGGCACAAGGCATGGGAATCACCCTAGAATGCCAGCCAGGAGAAGATGACTGGAGCGCTTTTCAAAAAAACAGGCCTGCTAGTTGACAAGACAATTGCTGCCTGGCTCAGAACGAACGAGGGTCTCTCCAGAAAAACCAGCTAAGAATGCTGAAATTCAGATCACGTCCCTGTGGAGAAACAGCTGTGCCACAGGATGGAGCGGGAGCCGGCTCCTGCGCCGCGTGCTGAGTGCGAGGTCCACGACATGGTGCCGCCCGGCTCAGGGGACCAGGAGCACGACCACCACCTGAGGCTTGCTCGCCCTCAACATAGCTTTCTTAAAAAAAGTAAATAAAGATAAATAAGAATTGCGTAGTTGGTACAGGGTCTTGCTACACAGCTTGGACTCAGTGATCCTCCTGTCTCAGCCCCCCAGGGCTGGGGTCACAGGGGCGCACCACCACACCCGGGGTTCTGGGGCTTTCACGGCATGCGGTACTGGGGAACAAACGTGGATCCTTGCATTTGCCAGGCAGGCACTTAGACTGCCAAGCTACTTGCCCAGACACAAACAGCCTGCTGGGGCATGCGTGCCATAGGTTCGCCACCACTGGCCTAGATCATCTGACCTCCAACCTTCTGGTTTCCAGAACAGCTTACTGTTATTTAGAAGAGGTAGTAAAAGCCTGACAGAAACAGGTTTAATGATGATAATAACAATGAACAATACCACACTATATTTGAGTTATAATTTTAAATTATGGATTAAATTTCATGTAATTTAAATAACAAGCATACAGGCCATTATCAAACCTATCAGTGTGTAGCAATTTAAAACCTGATACCATCATTTCAGCTAGGAAACTGGCCACACGGGTCGTGGCCCTCTGTCCACAGGTCCTCAAAGAGAATGACTATCCTAGAAGGCAGTTGCTAATGCCCACGTGATAGGAAACCAGGGTGACAGCGTGGGGGCCACAGCCCCGATTCTGCTCTCCCACCACCACCACCTACCTCAGCGGGTACTTCAGTGAGTAGGCAGCAGCCAAGAAGCCCCCCAGGTTGTGTCCAAGCAGGATCATCCTGTCCAGCCCCAGCGCACACCTCCACTCCTCGATGGATTCCACAAACTGATTCTCCGCTTCCTCCGCATCGCTGTCAAATCTGGGTCTACTGCTCCGTCCAAAGCCCAACAGGTCAAAAGCATAGACGGGCCTGTCAGTAGAAAGAGCTCCAAAATTCAGTGCCCACAGTCCAAGGCCTCCTCCGAAACCATGGAGGAGGATAAGTGGAGTCTTATTTGAAATATTCTCAGAGAACTTCAGCGTCCATATTTTATTTCCATTAGATATAAGAACAGGTTCTTTCTGGTAAATGCAAGGGACACCTAATAAAAACAAAGAAGAAATTCTACTTAGCTTCACAACTTCTGAGGAAATGATCAAAGCAACTAAAAAGTAATACTCTGAAAACCACATGGTATCTATTCATATGACTTTAGCCTTTATTACGTCAGCCCCCCAAAAAGGAGTCTAATATGTTACTGAATTAAGCAATTCTAAATGACCATGTTCTCTGTCTAAGCAGGAAAATCCATCTCAGACAAGCGTCAAGCCCTGTGGCCAACGTCTTTGGTAAGTTGTCACTGCTTGATGTCATCCCACTGTACACATGAGGGAGTTAGTGCCTGGAGCTGGACTCAGTGGCTCCTGGATGCACTAGTCCAAGTCTCTAGCTTTGCAGCCAGGAACAAAGAATACAGAACACTCAATGAATTAAGTACTAAAGACTGAAGGAATCCTGAAGCGCTGTCAGGAGTGGAGGGAAAGAGTGATGGTATGCACACTACACACAACTGAAGCCATAAGTCACTGCAAAGCTTAGTATAAAAAAGCAATAGATAAGGTAGGAACCAGTCGGCATGAGGTACTAGGTAGCCCAAATTCAAGTCCAACCATCACCCAGAAAATGCAAATAATCACAATTTCATAGATCAAAATTCTTAACTTGCATTTAATGCCATTTGTCTCAATGCACAATACTCCAAATTACCCAAAGAGGCAAGGAAACTTGAAATTCTTTATCATGACATTATCAACCTGCCATGGTTACTTTTCTCATTGCTAAGACGACAAAACACCTGGCAGCCAACCTTAAAGGGGGAAAGGTTTACTTAGCGCAGTCTGGAGAGGTTTCAGTCGGTCATGAACTGCCTCAATGCAGGGTGCCCTGGCAAAGGGCCTCTGCAGAGAACAGGCCATGCCCCACAGGACAGCAAAAGCAACAGGGGGCCGGCACAGTATCGTCCGCCTCCTTTATCTAGGCTACAGGCGTTAGGGCGGTGCAGAACCAACCAGTGGACTCTGATTTCGTACTCACACGCCCTTGTTCCCTGCGCGGCCCCACGCAGTCACACCCTCTCGCTCCAGCCGCCTCTGACCACAGGAGGCGCTGAGGGGACATCTGAACACAAGCCACGACACAGCTGAAAACCTCCCTCAGATACAGCCCTGAGTCATCTGTGTATATCCACCCACCCGAGCCAGACACGGGAACCAGCTGTTTCTGCCTTTTAATCAAAGAAACCATCTCAGGTCCGCATGTACACAGAAGCACTAAAGAGGACACCAGAACTCATTCAGAATATTAACAAGCCTGTGTGCCTGCGTGTGGGGAAAGCTGAGCGTCCGGAACGGGAAGCAAGTGGGCGCTGCTCCAAGCTGCATCACTTTAGCACTTGATCACGGGCCTGCGAAGTCCCATGAAGGTCTGCACCGCGGCGCGAGCCCCTCTGCTGCACTGCGGCTGCTGCGCTAGACCCCCACTCGCCTGGGTGGTGCCTCGCAGGGCCAGCTCTTGCCCTTGTTTCATCCCAAACACACGGGTGGGGAGCTATCCCAAAAGCATGAACTGAGCATCTCAGTGCCTTCTCACTTCCTCACAAGACCTTTATTGTTTTGTAAACAACATTAGCAGCTTTGTCAGTTTTGTGGAAAGCTATATTACCCAGCTCTAGGGAGTAAGAAGAAATTCATTTTCCTATTGATGACGAATACAAGATGGCTAGTTACCCTTCCTGGGTACATACCTAGGTACAGTCACCTAATCCTGAATCAGCATACATACAGACAAGAAGATACATTTATGGGAGAGGATAAACACAGGGTGAACAGATAGCTACCTGCATGTGCAAAATAGCCATGTGTGAGCGTGGCATTACTCAACCCACACCTCGGGACTGCATCCACAGAACTAAACTGGATGCTGAACAACACAGCTTAGAACCACACCCACAGATACCTGCAAGTGCCTGAGAGTTCAGATAAATGTCAGTGCCTAAAAGAAATTTTAATTTAAAGTCTCCACACCAGTGTAAATGTAGAATTAAAGAACGCTAAAATGTGGAGGCAGAAAGAATCCCAAGGACTATTCTACTTCCTTACAGGTAAGAACCAGGACACAGGGCTCCTGGGCTGGTGGAGATCTGGGCCGAATCCAGGTTACCTGGTTCCAGCCTAGTACCTGTTCTACTGTGCAAGGCCTCAGGGTACCTAGAATCTGTGCTAGGTACACAGCTTGTGGACACAGTGAGTGTGTGTGTGTGTGTGTGTGTGTGTGTGTGCGGTCCTTGAGATCTTCTGAGGTCAAACCTATTTTTATAACAATACTAAAGCTCTATTTTCCTTTCCACTCTTAGGCTATTGGGTGTACAGTGGAGTTTTCCAGAGATCACGTGATAAGTGATTAGCCAAGACACGGAAGGTGGAAACAGACACAACCCACCTGACTTATATTAAGCCAGACACTAAAGAGCTCTGCGACACGTAAACATGTTATTTCTCTCAGTACATTTTGTTTGGAATACATACATATACATATTTTAATTCATAAACATGTTATTTAAAATAAATACTAGGTTAAAATAACTTGTAATGAGTTTTACTATTATTTTCAAATAAATAAATACATTACCATATTTTCAGTTATTCGATTTTAACTTATAACATGTAAACGCTGGTAACTATAGCCCACACACAAAGTCCCCTATGGTCCTTCCTAGTTTAAGACTGTAACAAAGCCCCGCCCTGGTTTTGCCACCTACTGACAGCATGTTAGAGGAAAGAATTCTCGCGGCAACAACTAACATGTCACAGAACCTCATCTCCAGCTTCAGGGCAAGGTGATCTATCGGATCGATTTCAGCCAACAGTCCAGGTAAGTGAGAAGAAAGCCTTACATTTTAACATTTTCTCTTCAGCTTCTTTAAGGAGCAGTGGAGATGTTGGGCACCAGGTGGGAAGCCAGCCTGCTAGCCATCCTGACCTAGAGCACAAAAGACAAATGCACACAGGTGAGTCAAAACTTCGACTGTTATGCATCAGGGTCAGAAGAAAAGCAGCAGAGGGACCTGTCTGTGTGATGTCAGCTGCAGGTGATAAAGGTGGCCCCCGTGGGCAAAGCCTTGTGACGAGTTCAGGGACACAGACCCTCACGTCAGCCTGTGTGCCTTCGCACAGATGTCAAAGTTCACCTCGTCTTCAGCATCTGCATCCTAAGGAAAGGCTAAGAAACGAGAAGGACAACAGAAGGCGTTCCCCAGGTGGGGCGACGTCGGCCAGGGTGCCAGTGCAAATGAGATGCAAGACCCTGAGCAGGTCCACTCGAATGCGGGCTTCTCAGCAGCATGAGATACGTGGCCTGGGGGCTCACAGAAGTGAGGCTTTGTCAAAGCTCTCCATAAAAAAGTTTCCAGTGCGATCAGAAAGAGTAGTATACGTCTAACGAAAGGGAGCCGTCTGTGTATAGTCTGAGCTGGTCAACGGCGGGCAGAATAATAAAATGGCTTTCGGTTCCAGCAAAGGGCAGATGAAGAGAATGTCACAGACAGCCAAGCACTGAGGACAGGTCACAAATCTGGGCAGTGGGCGGGGACAGCTCGGGGAGGCCGGAGATTCCAGATCAGACTTCAGGGCTTGAACCAAGGCACTGGTGATGGTAACAGAGACAAGCAGATGGCCAGGAACGCTGCAGCGCAAACCAGGCAGGGCGGGCAGAAAGAAGGTACAGTCACAGGGGTTCCCACGCCTGGGACTCGGTGCTCCGATACCCACAGTAACAGTGGTAAGGATGGCGGGAGAGGAGAAGCCCCCTTAGTTACCGAGCAGTTGCCAGCACCCGGCTCCCGAGGCTGTGGGCTGCCCTACGCGTCTTCCTTCCCCTGCGGTTTCTCTCGGGGGTTATAGATCATGTTTGCCGGATGACTAAGCCACTTACTGTACAGGCCAGGGGATTCCTGCTCTAGACCTCCATCTCACAGACACGAAAGCTGAGGTTCCCAGGTCCAAGAGAACACAGCCAGGAAGTGACATGGGTCGGACACCTGGCACTGGTTCTGAGCACGGCGGTGCCTCCTCCTGGGCTTGCTCCTGGAGGCGCCCAGGCGCTGCCCACCCACTGCTGCTCGGAGCTCGCACTGCTCAGGGGCTGCCAGGGTCCTCCGCAGTGCGGCTCCTGGGCATGCTACGGCTCCTGGGCACCTGTTCTCTCAGCACCCCGAGATGCCCACATCTCCGTGGCGTTGCCCATCCTCACCCTCTGCCCAGAACACCTCACTCTTCCTGAGACACAATCCCTGACTCGGAAGCCGAGGCGAGGTCCAGCCCTTGCTACAGGTCATATTATCTAGGAAACCCAACTCCAGGCATCAGTGGTTCAGCTTCTATTCATTCTGCAAGTGTCTAATTATTGAGAAAAGCAGTTAACAGGCAATTACAATGAAAGGATCTCAATACCTCGGAGTTTCATAAAGTAAACTGTCACTGAGCCGAAGGAAGGTCCTGAGAGATCGTTGTTTAGTCTTTGGCATGTACCCGGCCTCAATCTGACAAAAGCAGGAGCTCATCCCAGCGAGACCACCTAGATCCAGTCCTGCCCATTTCTTCAGCAAATGTCCCTCTAACCACAGCACGGCGTGCTGCCAGGCAGAATTGGAGGTCAGGTGAAAAATTAATACAGTGAACTGAACGGTGTCTACTATGGCCCCAACTAACAACACAGGCAAGTTGGGGCAAAGAAAACATAGTGCAATCTGTCTCAGTCTTTTAAGAAAAATACTTTATTAAAAAAATAATTCAGGCTCTGAATATTTACTATGCTCAAGGTACCAGAGTTTAAAAAGTTATCACCCAGCTTTTGATACAGGGATTGTACCTACCCCAGCACACCCTTTACTCAACACCATCCTCAAAGGACAGGATGGCCCATCCCTCGTTTTGCCTCTTAAGGACTGGCCTGACCTAGAGTTTGGAAATCTTGAGCATGATACCGACACTGAGGGCTTTTTTTAAAAAAAATCTTTTATTTATTTGGATCTTGCTACACAGCTTGGACTCACAGTGATCCTCCTGTCCAAGCCTGTCCAGCATTGGGATTACAGGCATGCGACACCACACCCAGTTTTGGGCTGGCACGGCATGCGGTGCCAGGGATCGAACCCAAGTCATTATGCTTGCCAGGAGGCACTTAGACCGCCAAGCTATCTCCCAGCCCACAGAGAGCTCTTCTATCACACACAAGAAGCCCCAACTTTCCTCGAGGTTTCATGGCAGCCTCTCCATCAAAGCAGACAATAGTTTCCCAAATTGGGGCTTTTCTTTTTGGCAGAACTGGGGATTAAACTCAGGGCGTTCGCCTGCCAGGGATGTGCTTATTCTACTGAGCCATCTCCCTGGCCATAGGGTTTTTCTAAAGCATATTTAGCTTTAAAAAAAACTCTGCATTTAACAAAATACAGTAAATTATTTTCCTTCTTTCTAGAACTGTAATGATGACACATTTCCCCGAGTGCTAACAATGCTGCTGTCCAGGTCTACTTTAACACAAGGAAAAATGTGTCATGCAAACCAGCTTTGGTTTCTGTCTTAGAACTACCTGTGGGACTGACTGCTACACCCAGGAGTGAAAAGCAGGTCTGTTTTCAACCTTTAGTTGATTGCCCTTTGTTCACACACCTGATCTTGCCACCTCTATTGCTTCAAACCCTAAACTTACCCATTCATCCCTATACCCTGTCTTTGGGTGAGTTCCCCTCACCTCTGAAGAGACCCGTGACCCTTCCATGCCAAATGATGCTGTGTGGCCTCCCCGGCTTGCGCTGTGGAAGGTTAGGGCTCACGAGGTCACAGAGTTTAAGGTAAATACTCACATGCCCTCGCTGTGGAGCAGTACACTGGACAGAGGCCTCCCTCCTCACAGCATTGGAAAAGAAACAGAAAAGCAAACCTAACTTCTCTAAGCAATCAGCACCCACTGCCAAGAGCCGGACTTCAGAAGAGACCGAGGACTGCATGCGCCACAGGGACTGCAGTTCCTCAAAGTAAAGGTCTGTAAAACCAGGAAGGCACGCACGCACGCACGCACGCACGCACGCTGGGGGCTTCTCCGCACAGCTCCGTCAGTCAGGCACTGCCCTGGTAGCAAGGGCTGAGCACTGATACAAGAACGAATGAAAGCCTTCCTGCTCTATAATCCCTGTGGGGAAAGTGAGAAAATTTTAGTGAACAGACTTTCAGTAAGGAAAGCTTTAAAAGACCACAAAAGAAGTACAAATTAAAGAAAGCCAAGAAGGACCCCATATATTAACAGAACATATTTATCTAAGAATCTCCTTTTTGTGACACTAGGCAAACAAGCATTCTACCACTGAGTTACAGCCACAGCCCTGAATCTGATTTTAATTATCCTGGGTTGAGGGGTGGATACCAGTTTTGTCTTTTTTCCCTTACTCTCTGTCTCTGTCTCTCTTGCTTTCTCTGTCTCTATCTCTGGCTTTCTCTCAGTCTGTCTCTGTCTCTCTGTGTCTGTTCTCTCTCTCTCTCACCCTCTCTCTCTACCCGCCCATTATTAACACCCGTAACCCATGCCATTAACATTTACTTTTCCTGGTAATCTTGATTTCTTCTCTGAGGCACTTGATTATCTATACTATTACTAAACCTGGATTACACAATCTATAAATATTGTGAAATAGTGAAAGAGGTTTCAAAGTATTCTGAAGAAAATATACAGAAATCCAGCCAATTTCTACATACTCTTGGCCACTTATAATAACATTTCTAATTAGGTTATAAGTAAAGAGAATTTCAATATGTTACAATGTTGTTTAAAATAATCTACATCACTATTCTGATACAATTTTTTCTAGAGAAAATAATTGTTTGTTGCCATTTTCTATAAACTAACCTCAGCACAGAATTCAATCTCATTTTTAAAAACCATTTAGTTTTAATTTTTTTGGTAAAGATCTAAATTAATTAATTCTTAAGAGGTAAGAATATACATACTTCAGGGAGATGGCTCAGTGGCATAAGCGCTTCGCAAAAATATATATATATATATATATATATATATATATTCCTCTGAAATAATTCCTCAACCAATGAATGGCTGAAAACTTCCAAACTGAAAACTGTAACACAATTAAAGCCCTTCTTTTTTGGGAACCGGCTTCTTAAACCTTATTCTTGGGAAAGGGGAAAAACAGACTATGTTTCATGTAACTATAAATGACTGACAACATTTTATTTTAGATAACTGATACTGAAATGGCTCATGTTATCACTGACCATCGAATGAATGACAACGCAGCCCCTTGAGTGCACCATGACACACTAATTACCAGGCCTCCAGCCCCTCCTGGTACTTTTCTCCACTGCTTCCCAGCCTCCTCACAAGGTAACAGACCCCTCAGCAGCCAGACAGAGGACCTCTCTCTCCCCTTAGCAAACTTGAAGCAGCCACCTGTCTACTTTAGATTTACACTGCTAACCAAGGCAGAGGAACCTCTCTTTGTGCTACTTTTAAAATAAACTTATCTGCTGAGAATAAAGAAAATAAAACTAAAAATCCTGGGTCTCAAACTGAGCAATTATTTTAGTAAATATAATTATGTACAATTCACAACAGGAGTGGGGAATGGTAAGGACTAAACTAAAAATCTAATGATTAGTCAAGGCTATTTTAAAATGAATTATAGGTTCACAATTGTCATTATACATAATATGTGCCCAGCCTTTAAGGACTCACTCAGAGACATCTGTCATTCTGAAACCTACTATCCTGTTATTTTTAATTAAGTGGACGGCACTGGACTTTACAAGCTCTTTGTCACAGGACAAAGTTTGCGTCTGCTGGCCTATGAGCAGCATCCGAGAGCAGGAAGAAGAGGGAGGCAGGGCTGGTTCATCTAAGGTCAAGAAATAGAATCCTGGTCTCATCCTCTCCAGCACAATTAAAGCTCAAGGTCCTGACTGTCTTATTCAGAGGCAAAGTTTTCTGAATATCTGAAGATGAAATTTAATTCACACACCTGAGAACCGCAGAGTCTAGATTTCTGATTTTTACTGCTTGTGTCAGCATAAATTTCTATTGGTTGAAGTGTTTTATAAAAAGTTATTGATTATTACTATTTATAAAGCCCCATTAGGGTCTACAAGGCATTTGGGTAAGGCAAAATGTGTGGCAACCAAACTGGAAAAACAAATATGCAAATAACTATATTAGGAAACATTAATTTAGGTGCAATAAAGTTTAGGAAAACATCACAGACCTTTACAGAAGGAAGGCCACCATCTGCTTTGAAGCAAGACAACAGTGTGAACCAGGCTATGGGGAAACGAAGGAGGGTGAGGAGTGTGTCTAAGAAACAGCTATGGTCCAGTGTAGGATGGGGAAGGAACACCCCAGAGCCTGAAGTCAGGCTGTGGACACATGTGGAGCCACAGTCCGAGTGGGGACACACAATAAGGCCCCGGTGTGTGTGTCTGCGCTATAAACAAGGATGTCCCCTTGGAAACAAAAGCTAGTTGATAAACAAGGCAGGAGGAAAGCGTGTCACTACACATCACCATCAGGGAGCAGGGAGAAGAGTGCAAAGCAAGAGGCTCCTGGGTGACAGCGGGGCCCTAAAGGGGGTCCACCTCAGCACCCACTGTGCTGGATACCAGAGCCAGCATTCAGGGCAACAGAGGGGGCGAGAGGAGTCAGTAACATGACTGTTGTTACCCTGGAAGACCAGGAGAATATAACTGCCCTAATAAATATAGGGAAGTTCAAGGAAAGAACAGTGCTTTTAGTATCATTTCAATATGAAATAAAAGAAAAAGCACGAAAAAAATACGATCTCAGAAAATGGCTACATTTAAAAAATAGTTAAAAGAACAGAACCTACGAAAAGCAACCAAAAGTTGGTCTCAGGTAAGTTAAGAAGCAAATGTTATAAAAGCAAAAATGACTAATTAACAAAATGGCAAAGAAGTTCCTATTATTACAGTGTACAACACTGGAAAGGACCCAAGAAGGTTAAGAGCTGAAAAAAACAAAAAGCACTGATTTTAATTTTTTCAAGTACTATGGACTGAACTCAGGGTTTGCTCATTGAGCTACATCTTACCCCTTTTAATTGTGAAATGGGTCACGCTTTGACAATGGCTTCCCAGGACCAACCAAGTCCAGCACACCACTGCAAACCAGCTATTTTGTGGTTCGCCCTACACATGAGCAGCGCTGTGGCAACTCTCCTCCCAACTCAGTTGGCAATCGTTCTCTGGACCAACCTCACAGCCATTCACAGCCATCCACTCCACCAATGTCACACTGGGCTGCAACTCAGCAGGGTGGGGCACGCAGAGCAGAGTGACTCCCCAAGTGCCTGGCTTCAAGAGCCCCAAGGGACAGGCAAGAATAAGAGGCTGCAAAAAGCTGTCGGGCGACTATTTCACACTTGTCTCCTCTGTCAGTGTCACCTTCCCAGCAGTATCAATCTGGTTTTAGGTACTAGTAAGACAACACCACAGACCGAACAAATTACCAAGAGAAGAGGTACTGAAGTCTTCTGGTTCACACTTGCGGCACTGCTCTGGCATTGGTCTTCTTGCTGACAAAGTCCTAGGTGGACCAGGAGTCACACAGCAGGAGTGAGGAAGCACAAGAGTACACAGACGTTTGTGTGTCTGATCTGTCTTTGTCTCTATAAAATCAGGATTCAGTCTCTGGGGCTGTACCCTGAAGATCTTACCCGACACTGATCACTTCCTGGGCGTCCTGCCTCGGATCTCCTCACACCTCGCTGTGGAGACCCACCTGGCTCCAGCTGAGGCCTCCCTGTCATATGACTAGGGAACTTCACTCAGAACAAGAGCAGAACAGGAGTCCAAATCCAAGTAAAAAGCGGCAGAAGCTTGGGGTAGATGCCTCCGGGGGTGGAGGGAGGGTCTGACCCAGCCCTGCCACATGGTGGTGGCTGGAACGCTGACACCGACCACACCTAGTTGTGCCTTAGCTTGAATATGGTCATGGGAACCCCCAGCAGGAGCGGAGCTTCACCTTGTCTGTGGGGCTGCCTGATACAGTGCAGGCCACCCCACCCTGCACACTGAGCCCGCCAAGAACACAGGGAGGCCACCTGTGCAGGGCCGCGCTGGCTGGCTGCTGGTGACTTCTTACAGGGTGCCCTCTGCGATCTTCAGCCACGACCCTAAGCCATAAGACCACCACTGTGTCCAGGTCTCCAGGCTCCACAACACGACGAAAAGAGTCCACCGCCCGTAATCTCAGAGCCAAACACGCGATGACTCACCCGATGGGCACACGAGGACCAGCTGGGTTCCTATTTGTCAGCCCAGGACATTGAACAGCTCACCTTAGCTAATAAGGAAGTTTATCAACAACCAGAACAGTGGCCCCACTCAGCACAGAAACAAAACTCGGAACCAGGCTCTGGCATTTCGCAACTCTCCTCGTCATCTTCCCACCAAACACCTGTTTCGTCACAGCCCAGCGTCTAGCATTTAGGTCACGGTTCTTAGCACCACTTTTCCAGCGCCAAATTACTTCCAGCAGGAGGGAGCAGCTCAGGGGTTTGCTTTCAGTATCAATTACTAGCCGTGAAAAGTACAGCAGCGAGCTGCACGGGAGTAATTTTTTTCCACCAATTATCTGGTCCTCCTCTCCGAGCGCTCAAGGTCAGTTACAGAAAGAAAACAAACAAACTCAGCCTGGTGGTACATCGAGGCGCTCCACGTACACGGCTGCCCTCCAGCCCGGCGTCTGCTGCGCGTTGCGGCCTCCGGGACACACGCACACACGCGCGCGCGCGCGCTTCCCCACGAGAGCCACGACCGCTAACCGCGGGAGCACCAGGCAGAGGCGCAGGCCGGCGCCCCGCGACGCCCCCTCCCAGCCCGCGCCCCGCACGCCCCAGCCCCGGCCCCGTCCCGCCGCGCCGTCCCAGCGCCTCCCGCGCGGACCACGCCGTCCTCACCCCTGGCTGGCGTCCGCCGAGTCCACCTCCTCCTCCGCAGCCATGGCCGCGAGAGCCTCCGGCCGCGTCTGGAAGCCGGCTGTCAGGCCGACTGAACCGGCCGGGCGC